CAGCCCCGCCCCCTGGTGGGCTGAACTGGCCACACACAAAATAAATAAATAAATAAATAAATAAATAAATAAATAAATAAATCTTAAAAAAAACATGAACACAGAGCAAACAGTGGCAGGGTACTATAGTTCAGAAAGATTCCATTCAGATTCTATATAGTAGCCTTTTACAATGGTGCTTTTTTTTTTTTGGTACTCAGGACTGAGTACTCAAAGAAAGGAGATTTGTCTTACCGTCATCTCTATCCTCTGATGTCCAAAGAAAGGGTTGGCCAAAAACTGTTCTCCTACTCCACATTGTTTCACTCTGCTTACAATCTATCCTGATCCCCTGGGTGTAGACTAAGACAGCCTGTCTCTGTTGTCAAATATAAGCTTCCTTCATATCTATTCTCTGAGCCACACTGAAAGGAGGGACTGCTTACTTGCCACTCACAGTGCTACCCTCCCACTCGAACCACCCTGGATGCTGCCAACACCTCTAAAGTAGTGGTCTGGAATCCACCTGTCGTCTGCAAGTGATCAGTGAGGGTTCAGGCCCATTTTCTCCAGTCTTTCATAAGTTGAGGACACAGCTAGCCTCCTCCATGTTGCATAACATTGGTGAGCCATTCTTCTGGAGATGTGGCAGATGGCAAGCTAGCACTGGCATCTCCCCATCACCTAAACTTGAAATGCCATCATGACTGTTGGAATTACTTGAATAGCCTGCACCAGTCCAGAAAGTATCTACTCTGATCACATTAGGCTTCCATGGAAACTTCACAGCAAAACTGAATTGAGACAGATCAGTGTTCTCAGATCAGTGTCTCTAATGTGACCCAGTTTGTGCCAATTAGCAGACCTGAATTTAGACCAATTACATGCCTGAATCTGGAAAATTTGGTAGCTTGAATTCACTCCAATTAGATGTATCAAATATCAACCAGTTATGAACCTCAATTTTAACCAGTCAACAGGCTTAAATTTGGACCAATCACAGGCCTGCTGAAACTATTTCAGTAGCACTGCCCTCTCCCTTCTGAGTTTCATTCAGGGTTCTTTATGTGCACTGAACGCATTGTGCTGCAGCACAGGTCTTCACATAAAAATTGCCCTGGCCATCCTTAAAATCTACTCAGAATTGTTACCCCAAGAATGGTGAATGGGGGGCTTGCTTTCAAAATTTATAACCACTTAGATCTATCATCCCAGAAGAGCTCCAGAGACCAGTAGCTAAGGAATAGCAATGACAGAGGTTGGGTGACAGAGATAGACAACCCACATAGCTGGCTGGCATTAACCAGCAAGCTAGTTGTGTCTTTAACCCTTGGGACTGGGGGCCTTGAGGAGAAGCAGCAGCAGTAATCAACAACCTCATGTATGCACTGTAGCATTAGGCACTTTAACTGACACTAATAGCAGAGCTTCACCTTGCTAATGTATGATTTATATGCAAATTGAGCAAAAATACTCTCAACTGGTTGGTGAATCCAGGACTCAAAGAACAGAAGACAGCCCAGAACCTAGACAGCTATCTTTGCCTTTCTGAGGTCCCTGCCTATGGCACTGGCTGACCTGCATTGTCCATTCCATTATGCTCTCACTGTCTCTTTGGAAGGGTTTTCTGCGTGGTAGCCTGGGGCAGCATTTCATTCTATCCCTGAACTTCGGAAGCAGAGCATCGAGTGAACTTTCCTCTCTGAAGAACTCAAGTCTGCAGCCTAAGACAGCCCTGTCAGCTCCATTTATAGGCTTTTCTTTTT